GTTTCTCTGATATTTCGCATACATAGCTGAAATTTCTGAAGTTAGTATTTCGTTCTCTAGGCATTTTGGGATAACGATAGAAATGGTCATATTCTATTCTTTTCTGAAAATCGAATTTCCATTCTATCTCGCAATTTTTTTTTGAAAACCGAAATCTTGCGAAGCCTACCAATATTGCGTTAGGCATATTCGGAGGTTGCATATTCTCAGAAACCGGATTTCGTTCTTTTCTGAAAATCGCATCTTTACTCCATTTCGCAAAATTTTTTGTCAAGATCGCAGTTTGTAAAAGCCGAAACTTTGCGGAACCTAGCCTAGATCTCGTTCATCGTACTTTCTGACATGTCTTACGCATAATAGATCGACAGATATACAAAAAAAAAACAAACAAAAAAAAGGGAAGTAGTCCTCTTTTATTTTTTATTTTTATTTATCTGTTGATTAGGGCCGGAGGAAAGTATCGTTGGGTTGGTTACCTCCCTCCGTTTTCCCTCCCACCCACCCCTTGCATGCATCCCGTTCCGGTACAGTGCCACGTCAGCAGTGCCACGTCACAGTGCCAAGTCACAGTGCCACGTCAGCAGTGCCACGTCACAGTGCCAGATCAGCAGTGCCACGTCAGCAGTGCCAGGTCACATTGCCATGTCAGACATAGTGCCACAACAGCAGTGCCATGTCAGACACAGTGGCACGTCAGCAGTGACGTCCGACACAGTGCCACGTCAGCAGTGCCACGTCAGCAGTACCACATCAGACACAGTGCCACGTCAGCAGTGCCACATCAGCAGAGCCACGTCAGCAACATGACGGGCCTGCCAGGCCAACTGGCCAATGAGACCATTGCCGCCTACAAGCAGCGTTGCCTGGCTCAGATAGAGGCTGAGGAACAACGCCTGCTGGCAGTCGAGGCTGCCCGCGTACAGGTTGAAGAGGCAGCAGCAGCAGAGAAGCCGCGGCTACAGGCCGATGCAGACGCAGATTCCAGGCTCGCCGCAAGGAAGCCCACGATCTCCTACAGCGGCATGAAGCCACAAGCATCGACAGACTCAAGTACTGGCATTTTGAACCGAACGGCGACGAGGCAACACCGGAAGAGAAGCATAAGGAGTTCCTCTCCAAACTCGTGACACGGTTGCTGTATGCTTGCAACTACCAACGGTCAGAGTTGGAGAGACAGTACCAGGACCTGACGCAACAGCATCAGGAGTTGGCGACGCTCCGCCGCACAGTGCAGAGCCACGAGGATGCAACTCGAGCACTCAATGCCCGATTGCTGGACCTAGAACAGGTTGTACCAGGACCAACTGTTGGGGCTTCCAGCAGTGCACCCTCTACCCGCCAACTGGAGGAACGCGTTGACCACATCCTGGCAATGCTCGACGACATCAACACCTTCGCTGCGCCGTCCACCATCAGCACTCAATTGCATACCTTGAAGACCGAGGTCCAACAGCTGCAGTCGACGAACGCAGATGGCAATCAGAAGATGCCAACTTTCCAACTGGAAAAGTTCGACGACTACACGCAG